TTTCTTAAAATTAAATAGTGTATAATTTGTTTTGACATATTAGAATATATACTCCAATTCTTGCTCCTATATATAAGTTCCCTCTACAAACAGTACAAAAATAAAAGACCCAAACAGAAAGGGGATTTAGAGACCATGTAGTATAATGGAAAGAATAAAAGAAGAGTCAGACAGAAAGATTTCTGTTCTAGTGCTGTTTCCAGGTACTTTAACAAGTCATAAACACTGTCTCCTTACTTTCCAGAGGGGGCTAGACTTGAGTTCCTTCACCTTAAAAATTCTATGACTCCATGGGCCAAGTCACAAAGGTAAAAATAATAAAGCAGGATTACCTATATATCCCTTCCACGAGGATCAGAATTTTCTTCCAGGGCCTTCGTGTCCGAGGCTGACCATAAACAATGGCATCTTTCAATAGCTTCTCTAGGCTTTGCATATCTAAAGCACACAAAAAATAACAAAGTCACAAAGCATCTTCCTCTTTCCTAACTTTACTCCAGAAATGCAAATATGCATTTCTTATTCAGGAAGTATGTCTCAGCAAAGAATATTAACATAACTAGAGTTGGGCAGAAAAAAACAGGGCAAAATGGATGAATTATTGCTACCCTGAATTGAAATTCAAAATGTAACAAATATTCAAAACCATCGAAACTTACCTAAATGACTATAATGATTGATTCAGTTCATTAGCTTGCTTAATGAAATGACCAATGCATCATGTTAAAATACCTTGCTATTCAGTTAGTTTTTTTGTGTTTATAGAATCAAACTGTATCTCTAATCCTAGTGGGTCATTCTGAATGCAGAAATAAACACATAAAGAAGACCGAGCAAGAGAATGTGAATAGACCATGGCCAGGTACATACATCTCCTAAAAAACAAATACGGGGGGAAAAAAACTTCAAAGTGTATGTTTCCTTTCACCCAGGATGTACTCAATAAATGCTTACTAAAGAGCTGTATCTTGGCACCGGATTAAAAATACACCAGTCTGGGGCATCCATGCGTCTATGTGTTAAGCAAGCTTGGCAATCAGTTGTGATTGTTCCAGGTTTGACTGCATCAGGTGCCTATACACAACCAAGTTCTTATGGCTCTGTTGGTCCTAAAGGTGGCTAATGGGCCTAGGAAACAATGGGGCTGGTATTGCCATTAATGAGGGTCACAGTCTCCCTGTTAAAGACAAATGCTTTGAAGAACATTGTTGCTACCACTGTAGACTTCATACTTAAAACATCTGCCCTGAAATTAAGTCCTTAAAAAAACTCCCAAAAATCTAAGCAACACTAAGTCTGGGGTATATTTAATAGGGGTGGGAGACACCCTATCATAAAATCTGATTTTGTATTCTTTATTGCTCATCACTGGAGAAAGAGATTACAAAACTACATGATTTTATTCTTTACATAAGAAGACTCTGATAGAAAAAAAGAAGCAGGGTAATAAAACACATAACACAAACACAAATAAGATAGCCAAAGACTGTGACTATGCTTACACATTCAGTTATTTGTAACAAACTAATATGCATACTACCTAACCAAGAGATAGAAGATGCTCTCCACAGAATTAAATATTTACCATCTCCTGATCCAAGGCCTCCAGTCCTGCTGCAGAGAGCAATGTGTGGCAATCAGCAGGATACAAATAAAAATGTACTAATTGTCTTAGCTTCCTATGTTTATATACAGAAAGGAGGAGAAAAATAAATGTTTATTCAAAATTTAGACAAAAAGAAATATCTATTGTGGAATGTTTAACCATATTGTCTACTTAGGAAAAATAATTCAGTCTCTTTCCCATACTATGCTCCCTGAATTCCATGTAAATTTAAATAAAAAATACACCACAAAACTTCAGCTTCATTTGCATTTTCAACTGTTAATGGAACTAATGTTACCACCACCACTGACCCAAAGAATATTACACAACAAGGCCAGTAGTGAATTCCATGGCAAACTCACTGTTATGTTTGAAGATTCGAATGGTTGCTCCAGACAGTCTGGCTCCTAGAACCAGCGATGCATGGTTCAGTTCATCACTGAGAATCAGGCAACCCTGCAAAATCAGAAGCACAGCAAGATAAGCAGCTTGAGGGGAAAGGTTCAGTTACACAAATTATGAAATGTTACAATCATAATAATGATATCTTATTAAGGAAATCTTGTACAACAGCAAAGCGATCAATTTTAAGAAGAAAAACAAGCATACATGATAATTTGATTTTTGTAAAGACATCTTCGAAGTAGATGAAAAATTCTGGTCGTGTAATTTAATATCTTAAGTCCTATGATTGACTTAAATATTCAGATTATAGCAACAGGTTTTTATTTATGCTTAAAATATGATACATCAATCTTTAAAAAGTTTTCATTTCTCTGATTTGAAGGAATTCCATATGAATTTTGGTAAGATGTACTGTTTATTTGTGGGAAATGGAAGTTAAGGGGGTAATGCCTGTGAAAATGGCACATTCTCTCACTCACTACTAACTAGGCAGAGGTGGGAGGTTTGCTTGAGGCCAGGAGTTCAAGACAAACCTGGACAACATAGC